ATATCAATGCAGTCATTCATACTTCATTTTCTTGGACTGAAATGAAGAGAAGAAAAACACATGGTGATAAGCTTGACATTTTGGGCAATTTGTAAAGAAAGTGATAGTATTTAATTGAATTGCATGCGAATATTTTTTTCCATTACATCACCACACCACACCGCAGTGCACTGGACTGGACTGGAATGCAAACTCAATTATTGAAGTGAAATCGAGTCGTTCAATGCGGAAATCATCCTTTTGAACAAAGAAGAAATGAAACAAATACAATGCACCAGCATGAATTGCCATTGGAATTAAGCACATAAATCACACAAAAATCGATCGATCGTTTGCCGAGGCAAATAGTTGACAAAAATTCAATTGCCCACAGTTCCACTGCGCTGGCAAAGACGGGCAAAATTCCAATGAAAAAAAAAACTGCACCAATTCAACTTGTTGTTTTCTCCTTCTTTCAAATAGAAAACATCTCTGGAATTGAAAATGACTCCTGTAATCAATATTGGCTTTCGTTTCCTTCTTCACTTTTGGAATGCTTTGCGGTCGTGTTTTACCCGCGCTAGCGTCTCATAAGCAATTTATCTACTTCATTCCACGTGTTTGTTCGATTAAATATTTATGTTTACGTTACCGCGCTCTGATCAGCATTGGTGCGGCGGTTACTTTAAGTAGCCTAGCTATGTTTAGGCCATCCAAACCAGCAGCATCATGCGAGTGCCCAACGAGAGAGGCAGTTTTTCATTTCGGTTGTGAAACAGTGGCTTTGAAACTACAGTGCAAATCGAAAACAGCAACCAAAATCAAGAGTACACATGTTCAGGGCCCATTATTATTTATTGAGCTTATCTTTAGATAAACACATCAATTTGACGGCGTGCGGCTCTTTTATGCGCCGATATTTATATCAGCAAATCGCAATGCAGAATTCATTGCAGTCAATAAGTTCAAACGAACTAAAATTTCGATTTTACTGATTTTAATTCCAATTTCGATGACTAATGGAAGCAATGATCATTCGAATGGGAATTTTGTTTTTCGTTCTTCTTTTTCCATATGATAAATTTACTCAACTTGCCAACTTTGTGAGCTGTTGTGAGAAACTGAATCATTCAAAAATCGTCCAGTGAACGTAGCGAAAATCCGCGTTGGTTGCTCTTTCAGGATTTAAAATGTGAACGGATACTTTGTTTCATTTGAGATAAAAATGAAGAAGAAGAGCGAAACAAAAGCAGTTAACAGCAGGAGAAACAGAAGAGAGAAAAATACAGTGTGTGTAAGCGAAATACATCGCGCTGAAAGATAAATTTGCGCAAAAGAATAAGATAGAGAACTAAAGGCCTGGCGAACGGGGCAAAACCTAAAGCGTGTGTATCACACAAAGATATATACATTCGAGCGAGAGAGAGAGAGAGAGCGAGATCGAGTAGCGCAATAAGACGAAAATGCGATTGGTTTGAGTGCCGTCCTTGTATAATTGGGCGTTAAGACAATTGGAATTCCTTTGAAAATAGCCGAACTGATGTAATGCTTCGTTGCTACATGGATTGTTTTCAATTGCCGGCATATATATGTGTATACCGCTCCAATCCGATGTGCATGAAATTTTCACTTGGCTCTCTCAATCTCTTGCTCTCTTCCCCTCTGCCTTTCGTGTTCAATGGCTTCTGACCAGACGGATGGAGGTACAGAGGAAGAGAGACTGCGAGGAAAAACTCATTCGAGGTCCGGCAAAGTAGAAAAGCCCGACTAGCTCTCTGTGTTGGGCTTTTGTAAGCCCGCGCGCGCAATAACAATGAATTTACATTTGAATGTGCGCACAGCTATAAGCGAGATAAGTCATCAAGCCAAAAGCCATGTAGCAATATAAAATAAATGTTGTTTCGGAAAACGTTATTTGTTACTTTCCGTTCTTTCTCTCTCGTTTTTTTTTTGTTCTTTTTACTTTTTGACTCAGTTTTTTTCCGTTTGCTTTGCTTTTTTTCCCTTCTTATTTCTCGTAAATAATTTACGTCGTGGGCATGGGTTTGAATTTTATTTTGCGAAAAATTTTCATATGTGTTGATATTATTATTATTTATTGTTATGGACAAATTGTTCAGAAGCCAAAGCTTCAATATCAATTACTTGGGTGCAATTTTTTTTCTCTTTCAGTTGAATCGTTTGGTCGGTTGGTCGTGAGAGCGTGTGTGCATTTCTGAATGAATGGTAGCCGAGGAGGGATTTGATTGTCAGTCAGTCAGTCTCTATTTCGTTCATCGTATCTCGTAACTGACACAGTATTAGCCGCGCACATTTCAGATGAGAGTGTTTTCTGATTTGACAGTCGTGCACATAATTCGATTCGTCCATTCTCCCCCCCTCTCTCTCTCTCTCTGGATTTAATCGCATGCAAAATATTCACATTTTTTTCTGTTACAGTTGAAATGTGTGTGTGTGTGTGTGTGTGTGAGAGAGAGAGAGAGAGAAAGAGAAACAGAGATTGGCTTTGCAATCTATTGCAATGTGGCCGCGTATGATATGTGAGGCAGTCGATTTGCATTGGATATTCGAGCTCAAATATGCCGACCGACAGACACTCAAATCGGCAAATGATAAAATGTGAATGGTAAACACGACTGCTACATTTAGAATTGACGATGGGAAAATGTTGCCAGAGAGGGAAGAGAAAGAAAAAAAAGCGAAGACAGATAGAGATAGAGCGGGACAAAGAGAATGAGAGAAGGTTAAACAAGAGTGCAGCTGGTGCTACGTCGATTTGAATCGCCATGCAAATCGATGTATTCGGTTCGGTTGGCTTTGTCGCCCGATCAATTGGTTTTCTTGTTGTTGTCGCTTCCTTTGGCCTGGTATTTTGCAGATCAATTGCGTACAAATGTTATACGTACAAAAGTTCAATCCAATTCCGCGAATATTCCGCGATTTAATACGCGATTCGGCCAATTGCGCAGCCATTCGAATGGGAAATACACGAGCGAAAATAGCGAAGCCGATTATATCGGTATAATCGATTAATATGCACACGCTCATTGAAAATGGGAAAAGTTTTTAAATTGAAAGAAAAGAAACACACAATCGACGGGAAATCACCAAGTGCTCATTTCAGTGATTTCCAATGAAAATCGATTTGCTTTTCGATAATCACAGCGTCATTCATCACAAACGGTTGCTTTTCGCGTTTCAGCTTCATTTCCGATGACACTCTTTGTTGCTTTGTGTTTTCAATTTTTTTTTTTGCTTCTTCTTCTTCTTCTTTGCTTTAATTTCACACTAACACTAACCGAAGCCGTTTGGCATTGGCTTTTTCGAAAGCGAATATAGAAAAAAGCCCACAAACAGCATTGATTCATAGTCGAAGTGATTTGTATGCGCAACGCATTCACTCCTAATTGCTCGCGTTCATTTAAAATAATAAATGTGTTCATTTTCACTAGAATCCGAGCCATCGGCCAGTATAGCATTCTGGGATAATATGCATCACTTTGAAAGAGTGAATGAGAACAAAAATACGCACAATATCCGTAGTTCATAAAAAAAAAAAACAAACACAACACAATGCGAACGACTTGCACTTGCTCGATAAGTACATTGGTGACATTCCGATCGATGCGTAAGAATAACGCGCGGTGTAAGAATATATGGTGTAAAAACGATGTACCCATGATAAGCAAAACGCTCAAACACACTTTCAAGGCAGTTTACAATTGTTTTTTTCTTCTTCTATAAATCAAAACATACACATAAATGAATGCGTACAGGAGCTCAACTAGCGCGATGCATCACTTGATAACTGTGAAAGTGATGCAGGTTGAACTTCCAGAAAATGAAAATGATCTAATAAATGAATTTAAAGAAGAAGAAGAAGAAGAAGAAAAAAAAACCCGCACGTCGTTTATTCATTAAAGTGAGCTTCATAAAGAGAAGAAAAAACGCCACACAATTAAGTCTCAACCGTTTTACAGGGAACAAAACAAGCTTCAAGAAGTGCCTATATTTGTATCATTGGAGCAATTAAAATGAGTAATTTCTGTTTACTTTGGAAATATTATGCTTAAGCTTCATTGATCATGCAAGCAAAATAGAGATTCAACTAACTCATTTAACTCTGCATTTTTCTCTCTCTCTCTCTCTTTGCTGCTATCTCTCTCTCTCGCTCTCTCACCTGCCTTCCATTGGCTGATCTCTGATTGATAAACTCATTTGCCGCTCTTAATAATGAGCTGAATTGCACAATTAACGAAGTACTTCTGCATGAGTAGCCAAATTTAGTATTAAAGCGATTCATTGAAAACAATTTAAAAAAAATCGAATTCAATTGAAAAATGAACGAGCAAAAAAAACACGTCGAATTCAATCAGGACAACTGATTTTAAAAATTGCAAGTTGATTATGTCGTTCGGAAAAACGTTCTGATTTTTTGAAAGAGAAAAAGAGAGAAATGGAGAGAGAGAGAAACTCAAAGGAATAAAAGCCAAATTACGGAACGGTCTTCTAAGACCTTATTTCTTAATGATTATGTGGGTACGATTTTAGTAGCGGGAACGCAAGCACAAGCGTGTGCGCGTATATTTCGTTTGCATAATTATTTGGTTATGCATTTTAAATGGAAATACGATGCTCCCTAAATGGCAAATGGAAATTAATTGTTGTTAAACAATTTTATTTTCATTGTTTTGCGCATTCGAGAGCGCGCGCATGCAATTATCGGTGCAATCTTGTAAAAATGTTCAGTCAGAGTAGCGCCTTACCGCCGGCAAATTCTTTTTCTCTTGCTCGCTCGCTCGCTCATTCGATGCAAGCTTCGTTAGATTCTACTTTTGGAATTCTCATTAAAATTGGCGCTATAGCGAAATCATTGCGATGTGCGCTCGCTAGGCCGAGATTTGTTTTAGTTTCTTGGTTATTTTTTGTTTTTGTTTTATCCCGTAAAACAATTGTTATATTCTCCATAGCAACAACTACGATTGATTGTGCACAAAAGACGGAAAATGTTCGATACTTACCCTTTCATATTGATAAAATGATCTACTCGGGCCAGCACGACCATATAAATATGGATAATATGCTCCGTACATTGCTACTTCTGGGCAGGATACTGCCATTGCGATATCACTTCACCGATTAATGAAATCAACATTTACTTTCCATCAAAAATAAATCCAAAATGAAAGGCGCGTCTCAATACTCAATTCGAATGCTTGTGTTTCTTGACGCTCACTCACTAGGGAAAAAAATGAACTTTTAACAAAAATTGCTTTTTTAGCTTGAGTTTCTTTTTTTAACTAGCACTTTTTTTTCTTGTTTTCTTCAATTTATCAGCTCACTTGCAGCTGCAGCACTTCTTATTTGGTTGAATTTTCACAAGTCTCTTGGTTTCGTCAAGATCAAAATGAATCAAACAAGAGATCAAAATGTTGTCGAAAAGTTTTCTTTTTTCTCTCTCTTTCTCTCTCTCCCTCTCTCTCTCTCTCCTCAAAATCAATTTCCAACTTTAGTCACTTAACTTTGCGGCTGCTAATGAAACTTTGTCGCTGAATCCGGTCGAAATTCTGCATTTTTTTAGTTAATTTTCTGGAAGGAAATGAAAAAGAAAATCATTATAAATACTTCTTTTAACTACTAAAGAAGATAATCGATTTCGATTCTATCAAGCTTAAGAGAATGAGTGATTTTGAATGTATCAAAATTTTCTCCGAAAAAAAAAATTGATAGAATTGTATAGACCATTTTGCAAATTAAAAACTCAGTCACTCTATTACAATCGAGAGTGTGTGTGTGTGTGTCTCTCTCTCCTTTTCTCACTATTCCATATTCTTTGCATTTTATGTATGCAATTGTATTTTTTTTGTTCGTTCGTTCGTGCGTGTGCTTGTGTTTGTGTTCATTTGCCTTGTCAATGTTTTTGCTGATTTTTGCCTGGAATTTTGTATTGGTTTTGTTTTTGCTGCTTTATTCAACCGGACTTTTATCAATAAATACGTATATCACGTTTGGATATTGCGAAACTTGTAACACACAAAACACAAATATGTTCTCGCATGCGAGATTTTCAGTCTGTCGATCATTCGGTTTTGCCACTTTTTGTAATAGCTTCATTCTAAGAATTGCGATCGCTGAGCGAGAAAAAGACATTCGACTGAAGACCACAAATCAGCAACAGCAGCAACAATACGAGAAAAAAAGCAGCAGCAGCACAACAAGCAGAAGTGCGCGCAAACACTCAGCCAACAGCAGCAGCAGCAGCAGCAGCAGCAGCAGCAGCAACAATCAAATTTAAATTACAAATGGGACTGGTGCATTTGTCATACGCACTCACGGCTAAACATGAGTGATGGTTTTCACAATGCATTTATTGCTTTTGTTTTGTGATTTTGTTGCCGTTATTGCAGTCGTCACTGCTGCTGTCGCTGCTGCTATTGCCGTCGCCGTGGCCGTTGTTTTCAGCTTGCTTTGTGTTTTGTCTTGGTCTCTTTCATTTTGTCAAGCAATGCAGCGAGTGTGCTGCACACGGGAGAGAGCGCGCATAAAACAAGATTCTCTTGATAAATTTATCTATCATGTCGCATTCTTGCTGAGTTCGCTTCATAAAATTCTACACAAACTGATTGATATTAACTATATAAATGAAAATAGGTGCGAGTGCGAGCGTGCGCTGCTCTTGGCGCATTATATGCATTGCTTTCCGCATTTGTTTTGCCCCATTCAATTTGTAAATTGTAAATGATTTTGCTCGCTCTCTGTCTCTAATGTCCATTTGAAAAATGTAATCATTGATGAACGGCGTCGTGTCATTTCCATATGGGATATTAAAATTTGTCGTTTCGATTTGATTCGCAAGAAATTGGCATGGCGAAGAGAGTTGTTTTGTGCTGATCTGTGATCGATCATCGGCACTTAAGCAGCATGCGATCTCTCGCATTCGAAAAACCACCACATGAGACACATACACACACACACACACACTGATCAATAATTTATGTGAATTTCAACTTAAACGATCGCAATCGACCACACACACGTATCGCGCGCACTTCGTGTAAATGACTCAAATAGACAAGGTAGAAAAAGATAAAAATGCCAAAAAGAAAGAAAAAAACCCTGTGAATAGATAAACAAAAGCGCATTACAAATATAGATTCTGATAAAAAAGAAATAGATTTGGATGGCTAAAGGAATCTGAGCAGCTAATGGGTTTTTCTTAATCGATGGCACTGCAGTGACCAATATGAATTCAACTGTTTGACCTGCTAGGCACAGTAATTCGTCTCTCTCTCTCTCTCTATCTCTCCTTCTCTCTCTCTCTCTCTCTCTCTACATGAGAATTGCCGTTAATCCAAATCCTGGAGCACACACAGCAAAACACGCTTAGATTTGGCTAACAGTTTCTACTGAGATCGCGCGCTCAAGCGCACGCACACACCAAATTGAATTAAAATTCAATTAACAAAACGCATTAATATCCCGTTTATGTGTATCAATAAATTATCGGATATCTATGGAATTGACTTTTATTCGTCTCTCTCTCTCTCTCTGTATTTTTCTCATTAAAAAGACATAAAATCATAAATAACATGTGGATTGGGCTCTTTCTTCCTCTTCGCTTTTTTGTTCGCGCTTTTCGTAATTCTCTTGCTGGCTTTTGTTTCACTCTTCTCTTCGAAATCTATGCAATCGCATTTATCGAATGAGAAAACAACAACAGCAACAAAAGAACATCCTGATTGATGTCTTTGTACGCATTTATTTATCCATCGATTCATATCGCTGTTCGTGGATGTGCCTTTGGTTGAACGTTCGGTTTGGTTTTTCTTTGCTTTCTGAAAGCGGTTTATGTGTGTGAATTGATTTGCTGGTGCACACACGAATCACGATTGCGATCATTATGATTGCGTCGAAATGAAGAACTCACAATCATCAATTTATGTGAACCAACAACAAACAAAAACAGTTCATTGATTCAACTTTTTCGCTCATTTGTTTAATCACGCTTCGGTGGTGGTTTTTTCGTTGATCGGCAAACCAAAAATTAAGACATTTTGATCGATTTTGATTTGATTTAATTAAAAAGTGTTTTTTCACTAGATATTTTCTTCAAACAGGCCGGCTTCAATAAATCAAAATAATATTTTGCCCAGAAACAAGCGTATAAACTTTAAAAGTCATTGAACAGGCGGTATTCGTTCTGAATTCCCGATTTTTTTTTCTTTTAGACCTTTCTTTCTATTTTTTCGGCAATTTTCTTCAAACTATTTCATATAAATGTGTCTTATTTGTGAATATCGATTCAATTTGCTTTAAACTTTGAAACGGATTTTTCTTCTGAATTGCGATTTAAATTGCGAATGTAATTTTCCTGAACGTCACCGGATCTTCATAAAATCTTGAAAAGTTGTCATCTATCACCTGTCCAACTGGTGAATGTTGGGCGCAAAGCGTTGAATAAGAGACGTGAAAAAAAGCCACAACAGCACGACGTCATTGTGTAAAGCTACCTTGTGTCAAGCTACCCAATGCACAATTGTTCACACAAACTACATTTAATAAATAATTTATTATCATTTTGTGTCAAATGCTTAGGTTTCGATTCAGTTTGTTTTTGTTTTCTCTTTACTCTTTATCGCACCAATTTTTTTTTCTACTGAAAAAAAAAAACTGTCTGTACTTGAATAATTCGTACGTATGTTGAAATTGAAATTGAAGAAAAAACGCAAATCCCTCAAAATTCACGGCTTTTCCATTTTGCGTGTTCATTGACTTGTTTTTTCTACTATTCTGTCTGATGTTTGCTTGGTTTTTGTTCATTTTTTTTTCATTTCTCTATCGTCCATCAGGTCTCTGTTGACCTGCAAATGCGGCCGCTAATTAATAATAATAATGTGCAAAGTACACACACTAAATGCCATAAATTAATTGCAAATCAAAGAAGAAAACAAAAAACTTCAAATCGGACTCTGTCTTCAACACCTTCGAATGATCTTGTGTTTTTTTTTCTTTCGGATTAACTGAAAAGCAAATTGTTTCAACTATTTGGTTTTAAATGAAGCTTGTCATTTTGCCAGCCTTCAGCGCTTTTGAAGTGAACTGATAACGCGAATGTTGGGCGTGTAAGGCGGACTTACTTAAACAGCGATTGGTTCGTGGCAACTGTTATACAAAACTACCAGCGGATCGCGGAATTATAGGAAAAATTTGACGAAAAAATAATTCCTTGAATTTTGGTCGTTTAGTGTCAACGACAATAGCATTCCTGTCATTTGTGTAGGTTTCGTTCCCTTTTGCTTTGCATTTCTCGCTCTCGCTTCTTCAATAATTCGCAACAAACTACAGAACAAGACAAAAACTCATACACAGACACAGACACAGACACACATAACGAAAAACATTGACGTTCTGCTAGCGACGGCTGGGCAACACACACAAAACTATTCCGTTGCTTTTGCTTCGATTTTGCAATATATATCGAATTTGGCCTTCGCGCATTTTTCACGAATGTTTATTAGTTTTTATTGGATTTTTGTGTGATATTTATTAGTTGATTGTTTTTTTTTTCGTTTCGCGAGTGCCATTTTTACAACTACTTCTACATAGGACAATATGAACGAAGAAAGGTGAGGAAAAAAAATATAGAAAAAAATGAGATTTATTAGATTTATTGCAGTTTTGCATTGCGTACCAGTGACTTTTTTACCGTTGTCATTATTTGTTATTGCTTGTCTTTTGCATTGACTTTGCACTTATTCGATCAGGGTGACAATTATTCCTGACTCGTCGTCACTGCACAGCTTCAAAAGTGTTACGGCTAGATTTTTGTGTGTTTCGATTTATCGCTCTCTTTTCCTTATCATTCTGACAACATTGCACACCATTGACAATGAACACACCGGATAAATTCGTATGGTTTTCAATAGCTCGATAATTTTACAAGCAATATTTTTTGTTGCACTGTACAAAATCACTCTTCCTGTTATTGTTGTTGGAAATTCTTCTTCATCGAATTTTGTTCGTTTACTAATTTGTATCTCTGTATGTAAAAAATGTGGTGTTTGTTCTCGTGATATTCGTTTCTATTGGGGTTATAAGATGCTTTTATTATTCACACACGCTTTTTTTCCCTGACAATTGGTTGTGAAAAATTTCGCGCGTTCCGATCGAATGAGAAAAGTGTGTTTTCTGGCATAGACAATTGCGATCAATTCGATTCGACAGAAATTCAGGCGACGGAGAATCGAATAGTTTCGATGTCAGTTCAAAATGTGTCTATAAACTCAAAGTATGCGATGATTAAACACAATTCCGTTCGGTTTAACGCAGACACATAGATAATTTTCGCATTATCCGCCGAATATTTTTTTTCTGATTCACACTCAATAAAAATGTCTTTGACAACTGCAACTGTAAATTGCATCCACTTGCATCCACAAATAATTGAACTAACTTGCTGTTGCACTTAATCGCAGATCAAATGTTTTGATCACAAATTAATTTTTCCAACGTATTGATAATCCTTTGAAATACTTCCTTCTTATTGCAGACGAACAGAACACACGATACCGCTTTTTGTCAGTCGATCACAACCGTAACTGATTTGCTTTTTTGATTTTATTTTGCACTTTATCAATTGTCAACGGCAGCTTTCGTTTTTGAGCAACTCTCAATTAGTTTTTTTTTATACATTTGACTCGATCATTGCCGATCACACCAATGAATCATTTATAGTTTAACGTATTTCAAGTTCGCTGTATCCTTGAGATATATATATGTATATATATAAATATGTGTTTTTTTCTATCCCGTCATGTCTCACAACTATTTGCGGTGTGTATCAATCGATACAGGATTCAATCACACTTGGATAATCGGTGAAAAAGCTACCACCGTTTTTAAGACTGCCCGAACAGAACGAAGAGAAGAAAAAAAATTGTAAACTCGCTAAATCCCACAAGAAAGCAAAAAAGAAACAACTGACAAACAGTTAATCGAATTCGATGTGACGTGATCAACAGAGTGTTCGTTTCGAGACTGTTGTTGCTGTTTCTGTTTTCATTTAATTTGTCTTGGTCTCTGTGTTCTCTGTCTGTTTTCGAATGAAATGAGAGAAAAACACACAATCGAACGCATCGGCTTTCAATGCATTTGTTTGGGTGAGAGAACACTGACAAACCGAAAGAAGCACCAACGCGACGCGATTCTCTCGCTGTATTGGTGGGACCAGCGTGTATATGTGTGTATGTGAAACGTGTGTGCCTACAAATTTTAACACGCGAACTCGATACGAGAGAAGGCGAACGACGAACAAACCGAGTGAAACAATACGAATATACTGGGAACGAGAACGCGAACGGAACACACAGACATGCAATGCACATTGGGCATCACTTAATTCAGCCATACAGAAACCAGTTTATACAAACTTTTTGTACCGACACCACGTCCTTTATAGTCCGGTTGGTATGCATGAATAAGAGAGATACTCTTCGAAAAAAAAAAAATAATTTTAGAATTTTTTATGATTTTTTGTGTGAACAATTTTATCTTTATTTTGATTTTGTTTTTTTTTTCATAAAATTTTCTATTAGTATCTGGATTCCGATTGAATAATAAAACACAAAAAAATTAAAATTGATTTAGAATAATTGAAATTTTTTTTAAAAAATCCTACATGAGGAATTTTTATATTTTTCAGACATCAAAACCCATTTTCATCAATGGAAATTAACAGTTTTCCAATTTTCAACCAATCATTGCAAACTCTTCCAGTAAAAACGCCCATTCTTAATAGTAAATTTATTCAATTTCCAAAAAGTTCTTCAGTAGCAATGAAAACAAATTATAATTTCAAATATTTCGAAAGCTCAAAATTTGTTGATGAAATCTGATTTCATTCCATCAACCCGGTAAAACCATCGGATCATGACCGGATAGTGAACGCAAGTGTTCTAAATCGAACCAAAAATGTTCTTGTTCTACTCTGCACACAGTTGAAGCAATAATCATGCGTCTCTTTCGGAAATGATCCAACGAACCGATTTTTGATTGGAGTTTATTTGTGTGCGTATTTGAAATGTGTTCACACGCATCCACCATAAAAGAAAAGAGTACGCACGCCAAATGTACGTTATGCGTGATAGAGACGGCAATGTGCTCTCCCGAATCGAATTGGACGGTTAATGCAAAATAATCAGAAATTAAAATGTATTTCGCAAGATGCTCGGAGCTTGTCCATTCCATTTATAGAGATACTAGCCGCATGCGATAGTTTGATGAAGAAAATTCGCTGATTTCTTTCCGTTTCTGGCAGTTAATCGGCAAAAAAATGGGTTATAATATCGAATCTCAGCGCATCGGCCCTGATCAAAACTCATCGAGCAAAACACGTGTAGATTAATTGTGTGCCAAATAGTCAAGGAAGCAAAAATCGTTCTTGGAACCATAGACGAATGGAAAAACGGAACATTTTGTAAAAAAGATTCACATCCTTTTTTCCTCATCCATTTGCAGTGTGTGTGTGTGTGTGTGTGTGTGTGTGTGTGTCGGGTTAATCTGACACGCGCATAGATTGTGTGTTGATATTGTTGAACGTGGACATTCAACGTGCTCCAACCAAAGAAAATCGAGCGTTAGAGAGAGATATATTGGTTCAGTGCATATACGGTTGATATATCTGGCGAACAAGAAAGAGGTGGTTTCAGCCGACGGCCGCTACACATAACGCAATAATTATGTGTTTGTTGTATGTGCAAACATGAATTGAGCGAGAAGAAAGAACGAAAGAACGAAAGAAGGAAAAAAAAAACAAACAACGACAACAACGAATTGTATGCCTACCGTCGCTAAATCGACAACTCCAAGCAGCAGCAACAGCAGCAACAGCAGCAACAGCAGCGCAATAATCGATGTCGATAATAGAATTTGAGCCGTGGAGTGGCCAAGAACAAAAGGGATAACATGAAAGAAAGAGAGATACAATGACTGTCTGAAAGTGACTTTGGCGCAGTGCAAGCAAATGAAAGAAAAGAGGGCTGGATCTTGATGCTCCGCCTTCGTTGTTGACGTCGTCGATTTGTGTTTCGTTTCGAACATAATTTATGCCTCGCATGCTCACCGCTCTTTCTCACTTGCGTTCCATCTCCCTTGCGCGTGTATGTGTGCGTTCGTGTGTGTGTGTCTGTGAGTAGCATTCACACACAGCATGAGCCGAGTGATGCGCGAGCAGCACAGCTCTCAGTCGCGATATTTATATGCGGCAAAATCGTTGAAAATTTATGATTTAAGTATGTCGCATGCAAGCAAATCACTACGTGTATTGGTTCGAGCCTTCTCGAGTGCAATGTTTTAAAAGCAGGAAAAAGACAGATTTTCTTTGTGTCTCTCTATTTGCTTGGTCTACGGTTGTGCGCCCGTTTGTGTTAGTGTTTGTATTCGAAAGATTGTCGAAAGGAATTTCTGTTCCTCCGTTCCGAATTGGAAATTGAACGAATATACGCATACAGTGGCGATGGTGAGTGTTGGAGTTCAGCGCGATTTTCGGTTGGTTCAATGAGTTCGGCGTGTACTTATTCCGTTTTTTAGATTGGCGCTACTGTCGCATACACGCTTTCTCCGACACATCGCCAAAACGATATATCAAAGACTATGATGCAGATAACTGCACTTTGTTACGTACTTTTCAAAACTAATTTCGATTTGGCTGCTGTGTGTTTTTGCTTCGCTCTCTCTCTCTCTCTCTCTCTCTCTCTCTCTCTCTCTCTCTCTCTC